CAATCTTTAAGGGAACACGCTGGAGGCAGCAAAAGGTAAGGATCCGGTCAGTTGTTTCTCTTTCAGTGGAGCTATAACACTAAACATGCTGCCAGAGCTGAAATATACAGTAAGAGCTTAGATCACTGAACAATTCATCAAATCATCCATAAACATCTAAAAAAAAAAACAGCCAAGAATTTCCAGCCATGTCTGAAAACTGATAATCACAGATTACATCAAATATCACTGATCTTGAACTATGAAAAGAAAAATGGCAACAAGAAAGTCCTTTATTACTCGTTCACGCTTGACTCCTGTTTATTAAGTGACCATTCAGTAAATTGTTCCATACTCCGGCCTGAAGCTCTATATACACGACCAACCACAGGCGTAACGTTCTGAAGGACAGGTGGGCACAGTCCCCACCATAAAAATTTCAATACATAGACTTTGGCTCTCAACAATATGTGGGAGAAATTTCTAAATTTATTTTGCTGCTTTTGAAGGAGGATAATCACTGATGTAGTTCAAAGGGAAAACATCCATCAACCGATCCACATTTTTCTGGATAGATTGATGGATGGTTGAATGAATGGCGCCAGAAATGGCTGTTATTCATCTTTTTTTTGTACATTAATGTCTAACTACCCATAAATATAAATTTTAGTGTATTTTGGCTATTTTGTGGTATCAACAATAGGAAATTTTTCAATAAATATATGTTTGAGCTCAATTTTGGAAAATACAAACTCTACTGAAAGCGTTTGTGTCGAGTAACTTTCAGTCCATCAGCCACCACGCTAAGAGAGTCCCCACCAACTATCATTACAAAGCTACACCCTTGCAACCAACAATAATGTTTTTACACTTTTAACCTCTATTGTTATACATTTAACAACATTCTTTAAAGTAAATGATGTATTTTATATTATTTTTTAATTTGAACAATTTCTTCACATTTAAAGCAACTCCTCCTCCATTCTTATTTAACCTGTTTATACATCTAAATTGATACCAATCAGGTTAAAAGTCCATAACTTTGTCCTCATTAATCCAGGTTTTGGATATAGAAACTATACTAAATGAATGTTTAAACTGTTGTAAATATAATTTACTTTACATATAGACTTCTGATATTGAAGTGGATTACTAACGTTCCATTGGAGTTTATGGTCTTATCATATTGATCATTGATTTGCATTTGATGCCCTTAATCTGGAACTCCACTCTTCAAACTTGTGGTTTCTCTTTAATCCGAATCCACAGCACTTTAATCTTCTCCACCAAATCCAAAATTAAATTTTGCTGCTTATTTACAGCAGATGTCTCCTCCACAGGAAAGTCTAGAGACTTTTTAATGTCCTAGATCTCCTTAGCTGTCGGCAGCTTCTTCTGACCCATGATTCCCAATAGGAGATTTGGTAATCAGCGGTTTGCCCTTTGTCACTGGTGCTCACCAGCAACTCCAGGCCGTCTCCAAACTCAATATCTCAATTTATTAGTTTAATGTCAACTGTCCAAACACATTTCCACATCAGCGTTCCACCTAACAGCCCTCCATGAATAGTGTTGAAGTAAATCATTTTAATGTGACAAATGTAAAAAAAAAAAAATAAAAAATAAAAATAGTTTTTTTTACAAACATGTTTAAATCTCACAACATGGTGAATAAGGTTCTGCACCTTAACCTTCAACCACTAGATGGAGCCATTTTCATCTGTTCTAACATTGACTCTTCAAACCAAACATCCACACCACAGCCATTTTTACATTTTTATTGAACTTTTTTACTACAACACACAGGTTTACATATAGCATAGTGATGAATCTATATTTACAGATATTCTGCAAGGTGACGCACTCAGAATCATGTTAACACTACAATTATAGGCATACAGAAACAAATCAAAGAAGCATTTCTCTGAAAGAGGTCAGCGTGCATCCTTCTATGTCATGATGCAGCTCTTTACTTACAGGGTTACTAATATATAGCACATGTATCTTAGATATGTTGAGTTCAGACAGTGTAACAGCAGATGATAACATTACACACTCCTTCTAATTTGGATCTATAAAAATGCATGATATAAGATTGGATGTCTGTAGGGTTGCTTGATTTGAAAGGCTGTGAGTTAAAATGGAGATATTTATGTGTATTGTACGCATTTATGTACATATCTTCTCTAATCTCAGGATTCCTCTCACTCTATCTTACTTAGATGTCAAGATCGGATTGATTGTTCATCAGCAATCACATAGCTCAGGAGGAAGACGATGGGGGTGATGTATGTCTGCTTGATTATGTTTGTTAAAAGCCCTGAGATGTTATTAATGCCAGCGAGAGCATCAGGCGGAGCGGGAATGTAATGAAAGGAGGCAAGATGCCATGTGGGCAAGAGGAGAAAGCTATGGTACTTCATGGGGTATTTTAAAAAGCCCTATTAGTGTTTGAATCTTTTTAAATTTGTAGTTTAGGGTGTTATTGCCTAATTAAATTTGGGTCAGATCTATTTAAACTATGAGCACCAAAATCAAATACAAAAAAGTTTCAAAATAATCTTATTCCTGTTTGGTTGTGCAAACAGAAGATGGTTGGATGTTTAGCAGTTCTTTTTTTTTAACCTCTACCTATTTTCTTCCTTTTTGATTCAACGATTCATTGCAGAAATATCTAACTCCCATCTGTATGAAATGCTGATTTCCTCTATCCTGATTGGCTGGTCAGGATTTTTTTCAGAAAAACAACAGCAAGACAATACAATGAGAGAAAGGATTTCTCTTAATATGTTCCAGACTGGTGGCTGCTCAGCTGGGGAACAAGCTGAATCAATCTAAAACAGCTTCCAAACTGTCATTAAAGGACCCTTCACTCCATTGTCTTGCAGTAGCTGTTCACACATAAACGGCGCCTTTCCATTTCTGCTTTAATGCAAACATCCAGTGAATCAGTTCCAGTTTGTAAAGACATATTTTACCAAATGAGGAAATGCTAAAGTTAGCATCTAACAACTCCAGATAAAAGAAAAGAACAGATACTTTTAGCAGCAATCAGTGGAAGCAACCAGGGTGGTATTAAGTCCCGTATAACTGGACATGTATGAAATCAATTGAAAACATATTTCAGGCTCAGGGAACATAAATAAATGATATTTTGGAAGTGGTGCTTCTACGCCTCATTTTCTAAAGTCACCCTGGGAAACTCCCCATATGGCTCCTGCCAAAAACTGCCACTGCTCTTCTGCACATTAAAACACGGGATGCATGGAAACAAACTGAAGTAAAATTTTCTGACAAAGGATGGCATAGTGTCCTCAAATTAAAAAGACCATCTTTGTAAAGTTGCCTTGCATCAGCTAAACTCTGAGTAATTAGAAAAAGTTTTTAATTTTAAATGAACTTGAATGAGAAGAAAACTACAGATATGGTTAATGTTTTAAATCTACTTACATACATTGCTGTTCTAAGGTTACAAATGTCTGTAGAAACTCTAGGATCAGGATCAGCTTTTGAAAAGAATGCTATTTGTAAACAACAAGCTGCTCTAGAGGTAGTAATTACAAATGTACTCTAAGCGAAAGCGTTAATGTTGATAGTGAGGGGATAGCGAGGTGTTTGAGCAGTGCAGGGAATGTACAGTTATCATAGTAAATAGTAGAGATTTTTAATACAACTGCAGTTTTAGCTGGGATCCCCTCACTCATTTGTCATGTTTTTCTTTTTAAAATTTAAAATAATCTCTATTTGCACTTAAATCTACTTTCAGATAGAAAACATACAGGACTTCACAGAGATCTGGATTAAGGGAAACCATCCTTTTGCATCCTGCCTCTGTTAAAAGGTTCAAACAGGACACATGCAGAAATTTGGAAGCCTAGAAGGCAAATTATATGACATGCACAACAAGACGGTGACTACCTGGTATATGCTCTTAGTTATGACAGATCAAAAGGTTCAGGCTCGCTTACGTTTTCAACCCACATGGCAAAGTAATGGAGGAAATGTGGAATCTGAACAAACAGTTGTTGGTCAAAAACTGAGCAGGAGTATACAGCACTACTATTTACACACTGTGAGTACCGAGCAATCTGGGTTCAGTCCGGTTTCAGTCCAGTCACCTCAGGGAGAGATATGTGCAGGTCAGCCGATCAACCCACAGATTAATAAGTAGATACAGCTGAGATTTGGTTGTCTAAATAAAGGAGAGACTGAGACAATATGCTTAACACTGACTGAGCTGGAAGAGACTGAAGCCTGAAACTGAGAGCAAGAACGGTCAGCAGGGGAACAGGTGGGGCTTCATCTACTACAGGGCTACAGATCTTCATCATCATCTTCATTGGTGAAGCAGTGGGCGGAGGTTACAGAGGCTGCATGCAAACAGAACGGGAGGTTCCTTAAAGGGGTACAGTGTTTGGTCGAGCTCTGCAAAGAAAATCACAACAGAGATTAACAACAAGAAGCAAATTACATTAAATGACTACAAATTTGAATTATTAATATCATGAATTTTATTTTAAAGTTCATAGCTTTGCAAACCTAATGCTGTTTCCAGTTTAATGATAAAATGTACTTTGAATATTTTAGATCCAACTAGACAAAATCAGTCTAAAATTTCCCTTCTGTGTTAGAGACATAAAACTGGAATAATAAAACAAAAAAATACTTGTTATAGTTGCATTATATTGTCATAGATTTCTCTTATTTAAAGTAAATAAATGTTATACCTAAAATTAATTTCTAAATGAAGATATGTAATGTATTTCTTAATCATTATAGTAAGTTATTTTGGAATATTCATAATTTCCTTGGTGCAATATACGGTACAAAACAGGTTCTTTAAAGCACAATTCAAAGAAGGTAATAAAAGTAATTAATAAAAATAAAATAAAAAAGTTTATGTAAGTTTTTATATAAAAATCTGGCTATATAAGAATGTATTGTTTTTTTTATTCTCATATAAATATGGTTTGATGAACCTGTTCCAGTTTTTGTATTTTCTCAAATCATTCGTTTTCATTTATGTAACAAAACTTCACAAAAAACTGAAAGTGCTCCTAAATTCTGCAATCTTTATCTTTCTCTCTGAGGTACTCATTCATTTTGATAATAAGTTCAAAATATTTACTGTTTAGGAACTGTTTTAAACAAACCAGACCTTATTAAAGTTTTATTTTACCGTATAATGTCTCACCACGAAAAAAAGATAGAAGAATAATTGGGCTGGAATGCTATAACTATAGTTTAATTTTAGTGCCAAACCAAGACTGGCTAGTCAACATCAGGAGGTGCACTGCAAAAAATTGAAATCTACATAAGTCATTTTTTCTTGCAATAAGTTAATTTTTTCTTGAATTGAGGAGGTAATTGAGACACTTTGCCAATGAACAAGACAATTTACATTTAAAATAAGAAAACACAATTGCATTGTCTTATTTCAAGTGCATATTATCTAATTATCTTATTTTAAGACTAAAAATACTCATTCCATTGGCAAATTGTCCTATTTACTTACTCAAATTAATGGTAAATACACTTAATTTAAGGCATTTTTTCTCATTTTTAGATGGTTTTTGCAGTGTGGAAAGCACAGTTGTAAAGAGAAAAATTATCAGTCTCTGTTATTTTAGGAAGGAGTTTTCATATTGAATTAAGAAAAAATGAAATCCTAAATAATTCTGGGATCAGGTACTGTATTTAGTTGTTGGGTTAAAGGCGGCCTTCATATGAACTTACAACTTGAAGCGGTCGGCTGCTGCTGCATGCTGTGATGCCTGTTTGAATCATCCGCCTCGCGCCCACAGGGAACATCACTCCTGTTAATGTAGAAACCAAAGCCATCAATGACTATCCGATTGTGTTTTACTTTAACACTCTATTAAGGTCTACTGTTTAACTCTTAATAAAGTACTCAATAAGATCAGTACTCCAATGTCAAACCAGTTTTTGTCAGTTTTACAGGAGCAAAGCTGTGAAAGTTGAATATTTTTTTGCCTCACCTGTTATCATTTATGTCTCTGGTTTCACTGATGTTGTTACCTGTTGGAAACAAATCATGAGTTTTAGAAGATTTTTTTAAGTTAAAATAATTAGAGCCATTATAAGAATCGGATGAGGTATCTGTGATGTTTATTTACCGTTGTCAATGTTTAGTGGGTAGGATTCCAGCACATCTCCGTTATATCTCCCCGCTCTGTAGCCCAAAGCTGTGGAAACTCTGTCAAACAGGGAAATATTGTAGCTAAATGGAGTGACCTGAAAAATCTTTTTCATTTCAAGGTACAAAATCATTTTTTTTAAAGCTTCTGCTTCAAAAGATATCACTGACATATCTAGTGCAATGTTGTACAGAGGAATCTACAACCCTCATTCTTTTTATAATTTGTCACCTTGCGACCCAAAAAAATATACCTTTCATTGATTTATATGATGGATAATATGATAAACTAATGTGTACTTGTCAAAGAATTTGACCATTTCTGATAGGTTTTTTTGTTTTGTTTTTTGTTCTTTATATTAAATTTTCACACTTAAGTCCAGATCTTCAAAGATTCCAAATAAGAGGCACTAAATTGAGATGCATTTAAGTGGCCATGTAGCGGTTGATCAACAAGGATTGCTGCACAAATGTTAAATCAACAAGAATTGCTAAACAAATGTTAAGATGTGCAAACCAGATTTGTTGATACTGATTCTGATTTGGTGAATCATGCTGATTGTGTGATATGTTGGCAGTTTCAGAGTGGCTGGAAAAGAAAAATTTAGGTTCTAAGCCATGGAGATGAAGGAATTAGGAAAATTCTAAAAAAAAAAAAACCTACATAATGATAACACAAAAATAATATTAAATGTTTACCTCATAACCGACTCAAAGTCCTACAAACAAAAGACAAGGAAAATACCTGTCCACAATTTTTATGTGTTTTAAATCAAGGAAGAAAGAAATATTATTTTACTATTTGTATTTTTGATGCTCCAAATATGTTTACGTGCGCCCAGCATATCTCTCCAAATATCTGACATTGTACTAGCATCTCTTTTGTGTCAGTTTTTACCTGGCCATCAGAAAATAACAAAATTGTTTTTCAAGTCGATTATGTTTTGGATTAATAATCGGATAGCCAAAGGTTCCTTAAATATTTTTTTACAAAATTAAATCAGGGGAAACAGAAACTTTTCCACTTGTGGCTTTCAGGATATAGCATATTGACAGACAAAAACATTTTGTGCAAAATGTTTAAATATTTATTTACAATTTTTCATATTTTACAGTCTCTATACTCCAGTAAATGATTAATGAATTACTAAATTAGTGGACGATTATTTCAATAATCAATTAATTACAATTGATTATTTCAACCATAGTCAGCAGTTGAGTTTCTGATAGGAAAAATCGCTTTGCAAGTGGTACATGTCAACATTTGGATATCCTCCACCCCTAAATCTGGACAGTTTGGTCATTAGAATATGATCTGCATATTGATGAAAAAGAGATGAAAAAAATGGTTTCCACATGCTCATCACTTGGCACCTTCGTTAAAGATCTGCTCTGCTCGTACAAACATGTTTGATCCTGTTTTAAGACAAACTTTCTGAAGATCGGGCCCTTAGTATGCTTGAGTGCGAACCTCTGCAACAATCTTGAGTTATTTGTAGCATCCAGGAGGTTTTCTTCCAGTACTGCTCTTTTTATTTAAACTCCATGTTTCCATAAACTCTGACCAGATTGTCTCTCACTGCTGAACTTACAGCATTTCATGTTGGAATGGTGTGTTCAGGGTAGCATAAATGTGAGGGAATTACAATTAGCAATATCAGTTTAGCTGGCATTTCTTCTTAGGTTTCTGAGGCTCTTATCCTTCTTTTTAAAGGATATTATATCGGATCTGTCCACTGAAGGCTTTTGGTTGCATGTTTTTTTAGGAGGGTGAAGGTACAGCAAAGGCAAGCCAGTGTTTTCAGATAAAAAAAAATACGTATCCAGAGATTTTCTTTCTGCTTCACAACTATGAACTACCTTCTGTTGGTGTCATAGTAAAACATCGAAATCTGACGTTCTGATGTAAAAATGTAAAAAGGTTGGAGTATTGCAGCAAAATATGCTGGACACAACTAAAACAAGCTGAGGATGGATTTGAACTTACGTGTTGCTCTGCACTGAGTTCAGGTTGCAGTCGATGCTGGAGGAGCTCTTCGGTGTCATGCTGCCCTGGAAGAGGGCGTTGCTGTAGGCGTTGGCGTGTTCAGTAGCCCTGATGTAGGCGTAGAACGGATTCGTAGGAGAGCAAACAGGCAGCTGCTTTGGTCTCACTGGTTTTGCTGTTGGAATAATAAGTTGTTTCATTTGTTAGAAGTTACTCAGCCATGGCTGATTACTGGGAAGCAGCAATGAAAGAACCAAGTGCTGTACCGATCTGTGCAGCATGGGGGCGTCTTGAAGCAACCTTAGCCCTCATGGCCTCTTTGATGCGATCAACTTCCTGCTGGTAGCGGCGACGGTCCATCATGGCGCCCTCTTTGGCATCCTTCAATGCAGTCTCCAGGGCCTTAACTCTCTCAGCAGTAGACCGAAGACGTTTCTCCAGCTTTGGAAGCTCACAACGCAGATCTGCATTGTCACGAACCAGCTGGAGGGAAGAGAAAAGCAGAGAACAGGACAAAATATGCGGCAGCATTCAAGGTTTTAATTGACTAACTGTCTTAGATAAATAAAGATATCTTTCTAACAGAAGTCCACTGAGATCTTAGCGGTAATCAGTGTTTTGTTAACAATTTACACAAAAACTGTGTAGAAAAGTAAAGAAAAAACTTTTATTATTTTCTATTAATTATTTTAAGTTGCAGATTAACAATCCTTGTGATTATGACTGGTCTCATTTCTTTGTGCTTCTCACCTGTTTGTGAACCTTTGTAAGTTGGTCCAGGTTATTCTCAAGAAAGGAAATCTTCTGCTTCTGGGTGCAAGACCCCCCGCTATCATCAGGCTCCATTTCGGAACTCTGCAGAGACAGAAACCAAGACAGAGGTCCCTTATGAAGAGGGGAGGGGTGTACGACATCATTCTATCGAACATTTATATGAAAACAGCAGTTTGGTGTTCCTGTTGAATATTTCATATCTCTGCAGATTTTCCACATATCTCATTATTAATAATAAACACATAATTGAAATGAGGAGGTTATATATTGGTGATAGTTTAAATATATTCCAATCCATTGAAGGTTAACTTCCACATCTGGTCTAAAGTCCTTTAATGCCTCTAATAGGTTTTATCACATTTCTGTTTTCAGGCTGTCTCTACCCACTGAAGAAAAAACATCCCCAAAGCATGATGCTACCACTTCCATGTTTCCCCATGGGGATGGCCTGCAGCTTAGTATTTTGCTACGCATGGAGCAAAAAACTGGGCTGTAGTTTAATGCTAGTCAGACCATTTTCTTCCATAGGTTAGCCACGTCCCCTTCATGGGTCATGAGATTTTAATGTTTTTATATATATATATATATATATATATATATATTATTTTTTTTTTGCTTCACAAAGCTACACCAACTTTTTTTTTTTTACAGAATATGTCAATCGGGGTCTGCCAAAACAAAAATATGTTATTAAACTTTTAATAACGGTTCTTACTTAGCTAAAGAGCTGATACTGATGATGATTTTGGTTTGAAAAAGGAGATGTAGAAACCATAAATTGTTTTCCTTCCACATCACAATTATGCTCTACTTTGTGTTGACGAATAACATACAGTTTCTGGCTTTACTGCAACAGAAATGTAATTCAACATTTAATTTTTCTTTAGGATTAATAAAGTTTTTTTTTTTTATTTAATTGAAGAGAATGTGAAGAACTTCTAACAATTGGGACATTTCTACCAGGCATGCTCTACCAAGAGGCTTGAAGCGTATGCGTTTTCTTGAGAAAAGAGGATCTTACTTTTTTAACCCGCGACGTGAGGTCTTGAACGAACAGCTTGCGCAGGTTGTGGAGGGTCTGGAGTTCGCGGGCCTTAGAGACAGACACACAGATATACAGAAAATCCTCTTCAAAATGTAATTCTTTTACTCACGGTAGCAAGAAACAATCATTTTCTTCTGGCCATGTTTTTTATGCTTTACAGAAACTAAAGTGCAGAGCTTGTGGGAAGCCCTGGCCAGTCTCTCTGTCCATGCAGCATTTCCTCAGTGCAGCAACAGCACCAAATTTAAAATCATGACCAATCAAACAATAGCTGTTGGAGTCCCCACAAGAAGAAAGTTGCTCTAGAAGCTGTATGTAAATAAATAATTTCTTTTTTTTTTTTGTTGCTCAATAAGAAAGAATAAATTTTGATGATGTGGTTCCTGCTGAACTTACGACGGTCTCCTCCAGACCCTTCAAGTCCTGTTTGGTCTGCTCGTGACGCTCATGCAGGAATCTAAAAGGACAATAAAAGCATCTCTTCAGTGATCCTTAAGTCTTTGCTGGAATTAAACTCAAATCTATCACCTCTGTCCAAATATATTTAAAATCTGTTCATTTACATTATTATTATTAATTTATCTTAATAAATGTTAATGGTGTAAAAAAAAAAAGTAGAGCTCCTGAATACTTACGAGAGCTCCTCCAGGCGCTCACTCTTGCAGCTGTCCTGACTCTTCAGGCGTTCAAAGTCAGCACGCACCTGAGCCAGCTCCAGCTCCAGCTTGGAGTTACGACTGAAGTTTCAGAAAACAGGGAAGATGGGCGACAAAAAGCACAGGTTTGCTTTCATAGAAACACGTGTATGATCAATTTATGATGAAATAATGATAATGGGAAATAAGAGATATGACGGAGGACATGTTGGTGTGATGAAAGGAAAATAAATGGGGACAGACTCGGTGAGCTCATCGATGATCCTCTGCTTCTCGTTGATCTCATCCCGCAGGCGGGCCAGCTGTTTGTGATGGAGGCCGCGGTGAGACTCCCCCTGCTGACGAAGGGCTTTCTGGAAATGGAAAAAACCACAAGCATTAAAAGATGCTGACTGATGATGGACAACCATCTACTGCATGTATTAGGCACTCCACTTAATCAAATGAGTAAATAATTTCATAACTTTTTTAGAAAACTAAAGCTTTGGAGTCTGGTTAAGGTAGAGTTCAATGTAAGTTTCTTTTCACACATGCTTCCTTTTCTATACAGACTCTTTGCATGTTTCCTACTTTCAGGTGAGAGAATTTCCCTCAGTAAAATCTTTCTCACCTTCGTATTTCCATCCTCAAGCTCACCCTTCTCTCCATCTTTCTCCTCAAGCAGAGAGTTATCTGGAAAAGAGGAATTTGGATCCACAGTTCAGTGAAAAAAAAAGAAGCAACCAGAAAGAATGTATGCTGCAAGAAGGATTTGGATTCTCTCTTGGTACTCTGTCTTCCTCCCACATTCTAAAAATATGACTGTTAGGTTAGCTAGCTTCTCTAAATTGTCCTTAGGGGTGTTAATGGTCTCTGTCTATGTGCTGCCCTGTCAGGGCAGCACATAGACTTTCACCCATAGACTGCTGGAGATAGGCAGCAGCCCCAATGTAATGGATGAATTCCCAGATTCCTGTGCTGTGCTTTACCCTGGTCTTGCAGCTTAGCCAGCTCTTCGGTCAGGGAGTCGTGGCTCTCCTCCAGCTGCCTCTTCTTCTGCTCCACGCTCTGCATGTACTCAGTCAGAGAGCGGATCTTAGCCTCATGCTGGAACAAGAATGACAGCAGAGAGATGAAAACCCCTCATCCACTGAAAAGAATAAACCCTCTCGTTATGGTTTATTTTGTATCGCATCCCTTATCCCCCGTCGCTTACCTGGGAGATGAGGAGCTGGCAGGAGGACAGCTCCCGCCCAGTCTCCTCCATCTTGCGGTGGCACTCCAGCTGCATGTTCTCCAGCTGGCGGCATCGCTTCACCATGCTCTTCACCTCCGACTTGATCTTACTGATGTAGAGTCGTGCCACAGTGAACTCCTCCTCAATGGCCCCGCTGATTTCCACCGGCTGAGGATTACAAAACGTAAACCGTTTGTTTGTGTCCTCCTCATGAGTATTAGAGGATGGGTTAGGGTCATATAAAACTGATGGTGTGTTAGGCAGCCTCACTCTCTGGGGTTGCTTTTCTTTAAGTAAAACTAGCTTTGCATAAAGAAGGGACTGGATAAGAGACATCTCTATAGTCTAATATATCTGGAGAGCCTTGGGACACTAGGTTGTGCTTTTTACATCAAAGGAACATGGCATTTCAACTGTTGAAACGTCTAAGCTTTACCTGACAATAAAGCTGATGTTGGACAAGATGGCTTCAGGAGCAAAACCATTTCAGAAGGCTAAATATGGAGCAAGTACATTTATGAATGGACTCCAATCTAAGGAGTGCTGCTGCCATCAACACCTTTGTTTATAGATGTTGGCGATCAGCCTGCTTTTCCAGTGTAGTCCTGTTTCTCTGACTGACTGGCTGGATGTGCTCTCTTCATTCTCTGACATGGGAGTTGGGTCAAAGCACATCTGCCTGGCTGTGTGTTTCCTTGATGGGGCCGCCTTTTACAGTTGCATTTTGTATCTCTGCTTCTCAACCCCAGTCGGCCTCGGCAGATGGCCGCTCACACTGAGCCTTGTTCTGCTGGAGGTTTCTTCCTGTTAAAAGGGAGTTTTTCCTCTCCACTCTCACTACAAGCATGCTTAGTGTGAGGAATTGCATCAAAGTCAATGAGTCGATGCAATCAACTGGTTTTCCTCAGATAGAAAACTTTGAATCAATTTGACTGTATGATCGGTGAACTGTAAAGTGTGATGTGAATTGGCGCTATATAAATAAACTGAATTGAATTGAATTAAGGCATAATGAGGAAGATTTGTGGTAACTCTGCCTCCATTATGTCCAAACCTCCTCAAGTCCTATGTTGTACTCACCAGCTTTATTTCTCCGTTCCCCACAATGGTGCTGAACTCGCTGAGGTCCCTCATGAGCCCGTTGAGAACGTCCGCGATGCGTTTCCTCTGCTGACCGCTCACCTCCTGCATACGAGACAGCTCCGCCTCCAGCTCCATCAGACTCGCCTGGGGAAAAGGAGAAGGAGGACACCCTGTAATGACACCCTTTAAGGTGGAAAAAGTCTAAATTGTTTCTTGATATGTAGTGAAGGAGTAAATGTAAAAGACGATCCAAAAGACCATCTAGATTCAGACTCAGGAATGCAGAGTTATTATTGGTATCATAGATAATAGAGCAACTTTTTTAAAACATTATAGAGAGAAGTAACAAAAAAATGCAAAGAGGCTAAATAATTTTGCAATAGTGAAAGAATAGGAATGTATTGTCCAAATATTTATTCATTAAAATATTTTCACCTAAACCAGTAATTTCATAAATTCCATAACCCCGTGGCATTATTTTCATGCTCAAAGACTATTTCCTGTAACACGTGTTTTTCTCTGGAGCAACATGACCTAAACAGGCTTTTTGTTCAGCGTCCAGTTTGTTTATCCTCTATCTGACCAATCGCATCGCATTAAATCGTACCATTTTCTGGGCAAGCTGGTCGGCCAGCAGCTGGTTCTGCAGACCCTTCTCCTCCACCTCCTGGCTCTTCTGGTCATAATTAATGGCCAGTTCCTCCAGAGCCTGAAGAACCTCCTTCACCTCAGCCTTTGCACAGTCGCTCTCCACCTGCAGCCTACCCAGCTCAGCCTGCACCTTGTCCCCGTCTCCTCGAGAGGAGGCCAGAAGCTGGGGAGGGGATTGAAAAATTCCAAGTAGGACATTCTCAACAGGGACAGACACAAATGATCAAAGACATTTGGGAATGTTTTCTCACCTCGTCTTGATCCAGCATCTGCTGCTTTAGCTTTTCCACCAGCTGACACTGCAGGTTGATCTCATCATCCTGCATCGATGCAAGCATGTTACAATTAATGCAAAGCCTTCATACGTCAGGATTGCACAAATAAGTCCTTTTTAAAACCCATGATAAAGACGGCATACAATAATCCAAATATAAAATCTAACATAAATAAACAGCACATTGACTGTAGCTTGTGGACTTTAACCTTGTCATCCAGCTGCTTGTACAGCTTGCGGATCTCCTCCTCATACTTCTGTCGCTCCTCTTCAGAGATGCGAACCACAATGGAGGAGGTGTCATTGTCCAACACAGGGCGCTCCTCCACCGACTCAATACGGGTCACCACGTCTGCGGTGGTCCGTTCAGTCTCAGGGACGTCCTCCCCTGTAGAGGAAAAACATGTTGCTGCAGGTTTGGACCTCTTGTCTGACCAGAAGACTCAAAAAAAAAGAAGCTTAATTTGAAGAGAGAATATTTGTAAGATTAATCGAACCATTTCTCCAGCGGTTGAGCTCCGCCTCCAGTTTCTGAATGGTCTCCTTCATTGTCTTGTTCTTCTCCTTCTCCTTCTCGTACTTCCTCTTCCACTGCTCAGCGGTCAGCTCCAGGTTAATAGAGGCCGTGTTCCTGATGGTCTTGGCACTGCGGCAAAGAAAAGGAAAGGGATAAAAGTAAAAAACAGCTTGAAGACTAATGCTGGAAACACTCTTTAGCTTCACTGCTCTACTGTTCAACATGACCTCAAAGCAGACTCTGTTTTATTCTGTTTTTATTCCTGAATGCAAAGTGTTGCATAATTGCAGAGTTAAATAAAATAGAATAACAACATCAGCCGTCATTACTCTGATTTCCCTAAATTAAAACATCTTTAAACAATCAACCAAAAAGTACATAAAGCATAACTTAAGGTAATAAAGTCTCAGTATTAGTAGAGCTATTTTAAGACTGTTAGCTTCATTTATTGGAGGTAAATACTGTAAAATAGGATTAATATTTTAAGATTGCAGTAATCCCATATTTTAATTTATAAACTGTAGAGAATTTGCATTTATTTAATGTTGTTCTTAATATTTATCCCTTTAATCAAAGTACTCTGTGTATCTACCGTTGTCCAAACATCAGAGTTGATTTAGTCTCCCCTTCGTTGTAGCTGGATGGGGAGCAGCAGATGAACATGGTGGTGCGGCAGTTTCCGCCCAGTGAGTCCTGCAGGATGCGGGTCATTTTGCTGTCACGGTACGGAACGTGACTTTTCTGCAGAAAAGGAAAGATCCGTGAAGCGATTATGAATGAATCGACGGCAAAGAGCAGAAGGACAGAGAAGATGACCCCAAACAAAAACAGAAACTGGTTCAGATAGAGGTAAAAGGGAAGATCAGGAAATGAGAGACAGGAATTGATCCTAAGACAAGCAAATCTTAATATTAAATTAAACCTTAGGGAATGATGAATATATATTTTTTGTTCTAAATGTTAATGGTTTAAACTCTTTAGAGAGCATGAACAGCAGTGACAGACTTGACAGCTCTGCAGCCAGCAAATGTGACAGCATGCTGGAGATCGTTCTGGCATTTCCTAAAAAACTGTTGAGCTGAACAAGTGTGTGAAGACTTTAGTCGACAGGCTGGACAGAAAACCTCTTTTCTACAAGATAATGGAGCTAAATCCAGTCAAATTGAATGAATAGAGGTTTAAATACACATAATGTTGCAGGTTACAGATTGTTTGATTCGTTTTACATCTCAAAAAACAGACAACTCAATGGATTTCTTTCAGTTTAATTAATTAAATGGTTTAACAAAACAAAAAAGAGAACTGGATACTGTTACCGTTCCCTCAGCCAAAGCAGAGATGACGTTCCCCAGGGCAGATAGAGACTTGTTGATGTTTTTAGCCTCATCCAGAACAGAACCTGCAGCTCCGGTCTTGCTGACCTGAATTGGACACCAAACATACGGCAGAATGATCACCGATTAGATTTAAGAGCTTTATTGATGTTGGATTTATTGTTCATCTCGAAGTTTCTCTCACCTTCTCACTGCCAGCCAGATCCACCAGGTAGAGTTTCCCACACAGCTTCTGCTCCGTCTCCACGTGCTCCTGTTTGATGTTGATCAGGAAGATGCTGTGGCTGCGAGAGCTGTGCTCGTTCATGTCTGCAGAAATACAAAAACACAAGAAACAGAAACTTAAGAAAAACACCAAAAATGTTCAAATGTGATATAAAATCATCAATTTAGGTTTTGGAAACAAATATAAAGCACCTGAGGCACCAATATCCACACAGCTTTTAGCCTGTTTATATGGTCCACACTTCAGAAAAAGATGGTCTTTTATTAAAAATCTTCAAAAAACAAAATTAGATCCTAGAGAGTTTAACTGACTTATCATTTTTTTCTGTTCTGGCAAATAAACATTAAGGGATAAGCAAAAGGATCCAAGTAAGATTTTTTTTTTTTTTTTTATAGAAAAAAAAGGGGTAAATTAGTCAGAAGCCAATGTGATTCCGGTATTATTGGTTTGGTGGGGAATCCTTTTGCTGTCACACTTCAAACAAGTAAAATAGAAATTCTGGGAGAGAATACAAGGAAGTAATGTCCCACACAAAGCAGGCAATCAAGAGATCTAATTCTCAGCAGAATTAGTTGTTTGTTATTTTTTTACTTGCGCTCGTACTCCTTCTTCTAATGTCACCCTGGGCAACTGCCCATTATGCCCATTAAATTGTGAGGAGGGCTGTAAAAATGTAAGAATATTGTTTAAATTGTGAGAGAAAACAATATCCTTGTAAGTATCCTATTAGGGATAGTATCCTATCCCTTATTTCTAATCTTAAACCTATCAAAGCAGTCATTACAGGGGGAGGATGACGCGACCGTTCCAAAGCGAGCACCATTCTGCTAAATGAAACTTCTTATCGAACCTCCTCACAGCCTGAAAGTTCATGTTTCTCTGCAGATGATATCTGAGGGCATCAGCTCAGCATCGACAGACAGTAGCCCCATTAGTCTGCTATCAGCACATCACTCTGCAGCACAGTGAGTCAGCATGGATCGACAGGAAGAACACAACCCTGGGCTGCACAGGAATGCAGCTTTCAGCGAATCTGAGATCCACTTCTGCTTACATGCTGTTCCCTGTCTGGTCTTAGAAGATATTGAATTCAAGTTATTATAACAGAACATTGGCAAAACTTTTGTGTATGAATAGATTGTGTTATCATTAACCCTTTAGTGCTGAAGAATATTAAAATATTTCAAGCAGATTCCAGTTGCTTGAAAAACTGCATCTTTTTTTGTTTTACAGGTGGAAGTTTCCCCCAAATTCATTAAATTTGAAAGATCTTGTGATTAGAAAACTATTTGTAATAATAAACATATGCAAGATAAATGTGGTTTTACCTCCATGAGTTGGCATATTACCTCCATATGTTGGCCATTTATACTACAAACTGTTTACATAGATAGAGTAATCATTATTGGAATGGAGGAGAAAAAAATGTGAATAACTGAAATTTCACCTTTTCATTATAAGCCTTTTATATTGGAGACATTTATAGATAAAAACAGAAACTGGAGCAGAAAATGAAACTGCAGGATTTAAGAGACAAAAGTCCCAAAATAGGAGACTTGTCCATTTATGAAAATTTAGTTTAGGTTTAACCAGATTTTAATTTCAGACTCTTTAGGGTTTAAGTTTAAAGGTGGGTTTTTGTGTTTTTGACATTTAACAATTATGTATTTTATAGATTTGCAGCTAAAATGACCTGGATTAAAATGTTAGAATTTTGCATCTTCTCCTGTAAACTACCTAATGCCTACTGTAGATGGGCATAATAACCCAGCAGCACCAGGCAGTACAGAAAACAGATAACATCTCAGATCTGTTTGTTTCTAGTTTCATTCCTCAGATTGCTCCTTGAATAACCAAGTTCTCTTTTCCCAGTCATTAGTTTTCTGTTTTTTCCCCCATCTGCCTCCTAATAGCTGGCTGTTTTGTATTTGCAGCTGGATTGGTTTGCGACACGATTATTTTTTGGGGATTTGTCTCCTATAATGTTCTTTTTAAGAGGTTTACTTTTGTCTTTTAAGAAATTATTGTTCCTACCTCTGTTATTTATGTTCAAGTTTATATTCATATTTTACTCTTTAGCTTTTTAATTAAATCATTTCTTTTGTGTTTGGTTTAGTTTTGCTGTGTATCCATTCTTTCATTCTGTCACTATTTTCAACTCCTCCTCTGCAAGCTGACATGCAAATCATTGATTCACTCCCATGTTTGACGTTTCAAGGACTACATTTTTCTTTTATTTTTTTCTAATTGTGGATTGACTGAATCTATAAAAAGCTTTTCTAGTCATGTCTGCCCCTCAAAGCACTTTAAACTAGGGCCACATTCACCTATTTGCACTCACCAACAAACACACCAGTTAATACACCAAGGAGCAGAATGGTAGACAACTTGGAATTAAAATGCCTTGCCCATGAACACATTAACTCTGACAGGGGAAGCTGGAATCAAATCCACAGTCACTCGGCTTCTTTATCCTGTTCTAAAGCTTCTGTTCACATTTCTGTCAGTTCTGACCTGTACTTTGGTCCACTTACCAACGCAACCTGAATGTGGCACCTTTTAGTTAATCTTCATGCCTTATATATTCGTCCAATCTTTATTGATTTCCTCATAAAATTAAAATGAAGGTTATTTTAACACAGTTTTTTTTGTGGAGTTTATGCGTCTGCTATATCGTTATGTCTAATAAATATTCCCAAATTTTATTTACTTGCAGCGAAAAGGCAAACACATGTTAAAAAGGATTGAGCGGTCACCTGCAAGGATTAACTTTTAACTGACATGTAGGTTTTTATTGTCTCTTAATCTTTGATTTTTCTTCTCTTGAACTTTAGCAATAGTGTGGAGCTAACAGTGAAAGAACTCGACCATCACCTTAGGTATCAGTAGCAAATCATTATCACCAAAGCTGGTAAACATGAGAATCTGAACTGTTTCTTCAGATGAAATCAGAGCATCAGGATATAACTAACAGGATGAAGATATTTTCTTTTTAGAATCAGTGCCTTGTAAAATCCTTCCCTCATTCTGTCATATTACATGAAAAACTTCAGTGTGTTGTGCTTGGATCTTATCTCCTAATTGTTTTGGATTGTCACAAAATGAGAGAAACAAAATTTACATAAAGCTCAAACTAAATCCTAACACTTCGAAATTAATATTTTATGAATATATATATATATTTATTTTATTTATTTATTTATTTTTTTTGAGGAATTGCAAAACTCCAGCTCCATCACTGATACTCACTGGTCACAGCAACATGGCGGTTAGCTTTGCCCTCGTCAATCACATCCATAACCTCATCAGGGCTGGACACAAAGCGCTCAGTGCATCCCTAGGGAGACAGAATATGAGGCAGAGATATCATCATGGACATAATGCAGCCAGCCGTTCACTTAGAAGGATGAAACATAGATCAGCTCTGTTACAAACCTTAACATATGGAACCCTGTTCTTATCCTCGTGGACAGACAAGTTGGTCTTTGTCACTAAGGGAGGGGTAACATTGAAATAAAATTAGATTCTTTCAGATTTTGACATTTCAAAGTGAGTAAATAGAAGCACTCCATTGCATCAGCAAAGCATTCTTGTAATTTACAGCATTTGGTTTCACTAACCATCCAGAAGGTCACGGATTTTGTCCATATAGATTTCAAAGTAGGAAACCTGTTTAGAAAAAACAAGAAAAGCTAAAAGTTAAATGAGAAACAAAAGCTCAAAATCTAAACAAGACACATGTTCTAATCAGGAAAGCATTCATGAAACAACTCTAATAGTGGACCTTGATGTGGAATTCCAGGTTTTCATCCATCGCAAAGATGTGGTTGAAAATATCCTCAGCAATGCGAGGAATGATGCCCATTTGGTGAGGGTCGTGCAGCTTTCCCTGAAACAGAAACAGACAGGAAACAGCAATGATAAGAGATCCTATGAGTCACTGTCACATTTAATTTCCTTTCGGGATAACTAAAGTTTTTTTTGTTATTTAAATTAAATGAGATGGAAATTAACGTCTGATGTGGGTCCCTAATTCAGCAAATATCTTACAATATCACATAATGAAACTGCTCAAACCGAAAGAAAAAGGGGTTTATAATGTAAAAAACCAGTTGGTCAAAGACTTATTCTATCAATGCCTAAAAAACAACATGTACAAACTGTTTCATTTTAATGTAAACCCAAGCCGTACCTCCATGGTGTGAGTCTTCCCAGAGGAGGTTTGTCCATATGCAAAGATAGTCCCATTGTATCCACTAAGAACATCTGAGGGTAAAAAGACAAAATAAATCAATGGATGGATGGATGGATGGATGGATGGATGGATGGATGGATGGATGGATGGATGGATGGATGGATGTTTAATCGTACCCTTGACAATCTGCTTGGCGCAGGTGTTGTAAACTTGCTCCTGGGTGGTGTTGGTCGGAAAAACCCGATCAAACGCATAAGACCTCCCCTACGACAACAAGAAAAACATTCAGTATTGTTCTCTGTGTGAGAAGTAACACTTGGCAAGTCTTTTCTATCATTCCATTCATTTCTTTACTTATCTTTAAATATATAATATTTAATCTACACCATTTTCTCTAAAAGTAATTTTTTCATAACTTTTTTTTTTAATATTTACCAACCAAAGTCAATGTGAGTGAGATAATGAGACCAAATATTTTTCAAATGTTTCAATGTCTGGTTTCCATGGGCAAAACATTATTTAATTAAAACATTAAACTTATTTCCATACAGTTAAGGCATCAAGCCTTAGGTTCATCAAAAGCAGGGGTATTAAAAGTAATTAAATTTATTTGACAGCTCTGTCATATAGTATAACGAGTGTCTGCAGCTGTCAGGCAGTCTGAGAATGAGAGCCAGATTATCACTAGATAATAGGAAGGCTAAAGACATTATGGCAAATTTGGGACCTTTTAGCTGTAGTCTGTTATGAAAACATTACAGATTTGGGGGTGTTGGTAGCTTTGTTGGAATCTAAAAGTCTAGAAATACATTCTCTAGAATATACTCAGAGGTTACTGCTATTTTAGTCATAATAGCTGCAATAATAAATCATATATATATATATATATATATATATATATATATATATATATATATACACACCGGTATATATATATGTATATATGGCTGTAACCTCAAAATGGATGACTTAACAAGAAAATTCCAAACATTTTATAATATGTTTTATTTCAACAGTATTTTAGCACAGTAAAGAAGCATATAATAAGCTTATAACAAGATCAGCAGGAAATGGGTTACTGTAACTAAAAGTAGAGATTGGAAATCAGACTAAAACTTTCATCTTTTCCAGCCAGGAGCCAGTGATTGTATCGGAAAAATACCTTATTATGAAATACTGAATTTTAATTTTTTTAGACTGTAGATTGGAAACAATTAATCCAAGGATATTTTAATCACCTTTAATTCCATTATTTTATTTTATTTCAAATCAAATCCTCAAAAAGGATGAGTTCCTCCTAAAACAAAGGAAGCCTCCATTTGACACTACAGTAGATGACTCAGTAACCTCTGAATGTCACCGTCCCATCTGATACGGAGGCCAGCCTGCTACACAATAATGTCATCAGCCAGAAAGTGAGCTGTTTTAATCGTCATTAGCAAATTGACTCATCTGCAGTCCGCCTACATGTCAGAGGGATTTATGAGAGAACAGCAGATTCAGAACTAGGTGGGGAGGAGGGACAGACATGCAGGAAACCCAAAGACTATAAAAGGCCGGAAGCAAAGCTGAGAGGACTAAACATAACAGCACAAGAGGATAAAAACTGTGTAAAATTCAAAAACAGAAGAGGAGACAGATGGTAAAAGCAAGAGACATGAAAAACCAGGTCAGGCAGTAATGCCCACAGCCTCTAAATGATTATTGATCTTAGGCAATTAGACAGATCAGTTTCTGACTGTAGCATCTAGCCTCATGCTAAAAGATAAGAATAAGGTGAAGATAGGATTTTAGCGTTAATCACTGGAGACAGTTTCAACCTAAAGGATTGGGACTAAAATATATAAAATCACCCAGGATGGACACTTGATTCAAGACATGTAGAGTAGTAAGAGTTCAGCACCACTAGGCTGGATAAACAGATCCATGTCAGGAGATTAAACCAGAAAATAAGATTTGCTCATTTTATGAGCGGCTCATTCAAACAGAAACTAATCCTATGATTTTCAAACAGGAATATAAACAGATTTGTAACAATTAAAGGTTTGTAGACAGCCTCTGTGTCTGTTTAAGGTTGGTTGCCTTTGGTTGTATACATCCAGGCTTGGGAGTCAAATTCTAACCCAGACATACTCAGTTAAAACAATTCCAACTGAAATGCAACATAATTGCTTCAGATTGTACAAATAGATATAGAGATATAATTGAAAATAAAGTCTGCTAGTGTTTAAAATACCAGCTAAGAGTCTGATTTTATTTCCTAGTCATTTTTTGCATCAATGTTTGTACCTTTACAACAAAAAAGATTTCAAATCACCCTATAGGGGTTTTATGGTAAAGAAAAGAGGTTATATGATTCAAATGAATAACTTCTACCTAAAATTTGAGTTATTTTGTTTTGCTTTTTTATCTGGGATCATGATCTATTAGGTCATCGAGGGCTTAGAGTAAAAATTACTCAGAGTAGAGTATGACTCAATGCTTTCAGATATTAAATGATTTAATACGATTAAGAAAACAAAACTGTTTTTGAGAACTGTTAATGTCCATAAATATCATAAAGATGAACAAAAATAAAGTCTTACTCCATGGTTTAAGCATAAATGGACTACAGTTTTTGTTTAACAGGTCTAAAATGAAAGAAGAGATGAGATGGGAACTCCAATCCAGAAACCCAGAGCTGCCTGATGATGCCTTTTGTCCATTTTGTTTTTTAAAAGTTGAATTTGCATCTCTTTTATTTAATGTGCTTCTGTTTTAGTAAAATCATTTGTGTTTACTAAACTCTTGCAGAGTAAACACGGTTTATTGCAGATCTGTATGTTTATTATCAGAGCACATTTGTTGGGGGGGGGAGACATACCCCCACTGAGGGTCCATTTAGTATTATGAAATAAGTTAAAGTAAAAAATAACAACTGGGATCAGCTTTCTTATTTATATTAACCCATGCATATGATTCTCAGGAAAGCAGTCAGGATAGTTGCAACATAAAATAATATAAATACTGTGGAGTGTTGCATCCCCTGTGCAGAGCAGTCAGCTGATGCAGCAGGCCTATGTGCGCATTTTCAAAACATTATATAAATAAAAAACTTCTTCCTTTCGTTTTATAACAGCTCCCTCATTTAGTGAAAAATGCGCATCGTTTTGATCTGCAGCTGCCTCCTGCTTTCCTGCTGAGCTCCAAACAGATGATGATTTATTGATGCAGGGCCTGCAACAAAGCGGCTGCCTCTCACTCACCCCCACGACGACAGTGTCGTCCCCTTGAAATTTGGGCAGGAACTGGTCCCCGCGTATTATCTCGGACTGGTTGAGAGGACGAAAGCGACACAGCACTTTAATGTTGCACTCCGCTGGTACATCGGCCATGGCGCAGATTGAAGGATGCGCGCTGATGAGGAAGATGCTGCTGGAGGAGAGCGGATGAGGCCCGATCCGACTGCCAAACAAATCAAAACAACGATGGAGACCTAGGCGGATTGCGTTTGGGACGTTATGAAGTCACACGGTTTAATCGTGACTAGGCGAAAAAAAAAGGTTGCGGTAAATCTATGCGGGATTTCCGTGTCGCAGTGGAACAGGCAGGATGAATTAGATGTCAAACACGCAAAACAAGCTCTACATTATCAAATCGATCCGCCTTGATGGTTTGATGCTTTCGCCCCGGTTTGGTTTTCTCTTTTGTTTCTGGTGATGTCTTTCAGGGGCGTCGGCGGATGTGCGTGTGGCCGGCTGAAGGTGAGATGCTGCTGGAAGGGCAGTGGGGTAGAGCTGCTGCTTTTTTCGGCCTGCCTAAAGCGGAAACGGCGCCCTCTATCGGTGGTTGGCGGAAGGGCGTGGTCTGCATCCGCTCTTTTAAAGCGGTACAGCCTCAGCATCAGCATCACTGACAGAGATGCATCGCAGAGGCGGAGCAAGAACATTACAGGATCGGCACCAGAATCTCAGGGTCAATCTATACTGATCCAACAGGAAAAGGAACAACCACATCCATATTTTCCAAATAAAGACAAACTATACTTTCCTACAGCCTTTGCTAACAAACAGACGCATATATTTAAACATCCATCTAGATCAGAGATGTGGGATCTGGAGTCATCAAGTCATCTCCATGTCATGTATTTGTTCTGACCAGGTGAGTCCAATCTGCACAGGTTAAACCAGATTGGACTCACCTGGTTCAGTGGCTGGGTTGATCAAATAAATGACAAAGAGATGACTTGTTGACTCCAGATCCCCCATCTCTGATCTAGATAAAAGGTAAAGTGGATTAAGTTCTTTCAGGTTTCTGGGTCGAGCATCTTTTCTATCGTCATTCCTTACCTACTTTTATCAATAATCATTCTGCATAAATTTATATTTATATGATATCATAGATATTTATGATTTAACTTGCATTTTCTCTTTACCCCATATAACACAAAATCTAGTTCTGAAAAGAGCTTCTGTACTTATCATCTTTAATGTTAGTATATTGATATGCATAATTAACCAGTGTTTTTGTTGTCAAGTAGTTGTTAATCTATGAAAGATTAAAATGTTTTGAATAACGAGAGTATTACTGCTGCCACTGTCAGTATTATGGGGGAACAATAGTAGGGATGGTCAATGATTGGGTAAGGGTGGCCATGGCCACCTCTCTAGCTCCGCCCCTGATGCATCGTTAAAGAAGTGGAAGCCAGAACTGAATAGGAGCACCACCATATCCAAGCTGAAAATAAATGATTAATGATTTAAATCAATCATCACTTAAGGGGTTTAGTGATGCACAGCAGATTTTCTTGGAAAATCCTTGAATTAATTTAGGAAAAAAGGTGAAGATGCCCGTTTTAAAATAGATTAGCTTAAGATGTCGGCATTTCACTTTTACACAACATATGATGTACTCTACTTTCGGTATTTTTTTTTTTATTTTTCCAAAGTATTTCTTTAGGTTAAAGCTGAAAAAGTATCAACACCCCAGGAACATCTTTAAATTGTGTCAGTTTGCAACCGGAGACTGATATATTCTAATAGTGTTGCCATACTAAAGAAGAGCTGTACAGGACTGTCTTTTAAAGCAGAAAAACAAAACAAAGTAATAATTAATTAATTAGGTCTTTATTGGACAAATGTTTGACGGTGCCAGCTGTTGGTCAAGTTCATGTTTATGACTAAAACTATGTTCAAGACTTTTAACCTGAATGCATTTTAAATCAGTTTTTTTGTTTTGTCTTTTTAAAATACAATCTGAAAAGTGTTCTGTTTACTTGTAGTCAGGTGGTTTTGCAACAAACTGCCTTGTGTTAAAAAAAAAAAAAAAAATCTTAGTATAAATCCAGCTGCTCTGCCTGAGTTTTGAAAGAGAACCTTAGTGAACATAGCAAATAGATCTGAGAGAAATCTGTGAAGAAATCCAAAGCCAATCCTTAAAACAAGAAAAAGTGAAATCCACTGAGATGAATTGTAACTAGAAAAATCCAGATTTATAAATACATTTTTGAACATTAAAATCAGTTTCCAAAGATTCACATTTAGTGAATATTAACACATTAGTTCAAATTCTAACATGTATAATTTGCAGAAATAATTTCATGTACATAAGTGTGAAAATTTAATACTTTAATGGCACTAATCAATAAAAGAAACAAAGCATACAATTTGTGTAAATAGTTTAATATTAAATAAAAAAATGACTCCCATATAAAAAGAACGCTACAGTCCACAATTTAATCGTCTTTTTTTTTTTTAAACATAGGTATTGAAAGCAAAAGGGGTAGAATGAGAAAAATAATTACAATTCCAAGGAAATTCACAATTGTTTTCTCTGTTGTTTCTCTGACAATATAAAATCAAACACATTAACTGTACATATATACAAATGTCCAAGTATAGAAATTGCATAATCTGCTTTTCTTTTCGGTTTTCTTTCAATTTTTTTTAAATACAGATGGAGATGCCAAAACTCCTGGGGCAGGGCAGTGAGTGGCGGAGAGAGCTGAGAGACTGATATGAGGAAACAAAGGGAGGAGAGATGTATCACTCCATGTCCACAGTACGCACACAGACAGTTATACAGACGTACACCATCACGCTGTCTTAATATCCTTGCAAACCACTTCACCAATTATAAAGGACATACAGTACTTTCCTTAACCACAAAGTTTGTGCAAATAATTCAATCTGTAGTAAGTAGACGGGAGTTTTTCTTCTTTAAAATGCTCTCCATCATATTATAGCTACATGTAATTCATCATGGAGGGTCAAATAATAGGTGAAATGTGATTAGAAACCTTAGCTTAAAAAAAAAATTTTAAAGGCCTATATCATGCTTTTTTTTTAAGCCTGTGAACGTCACCTGTAATCAAATATATGATGAAATGATGCCCTTAGAACTGTGTTTGTAATGAAATGTAGTTTTCTTCTTCCAACACTGTCGTAAAAAACACTTCCAAGCTACTTTCGTGACGTCGCCATATCATGGCACTTCTGGAGACTGATAGATGCCAAAGAACAGATTTTAGGATTTAAAAATTACCTAAAAAAAAAGAGAGGTCGCATCCCTGTTGCTAAAAGAGCCACTTGGTCTTAACTTTAAGCCGGAATCTTCACGCTTTGCCTCACTGATCAGAGAAAATGGGTGTTTTTTGTGCATGATTTTGATGAAGGAAAAGCATTAAAAAACAAAGTTAAAGGCTAAAAAGAAGTCAATTTTGCATGATATAGGCCTATTAAAATGGAAAGCAATCCTTGAAGGTAATAAACGGTTATAATGAACAGCCATATTGTTTTTTTTTTTTTAGGTGATTGTTGTAAACAGCCAATGAAACCAGTACCAAACCATTTCCTTAGCAAAGTCCAATCTGAGGTCAACAAAATTCATGAATTCCTTTCTCACAGTTTTTCTGTGCTTTCTTAAACCCTAAAAATTGACTTTCAAATACGCCCACCGTCTTCAAAATACAACAGCTATGAGAGACGGGTTTTTTCTATACTGATACCGAAACAATTTTGACAAACACGATTGGGGCTCAGCAACAGCTCACACTCAAACACGCAAAAAGACACCAATTCACACACACACACACACACACACACACACACACACACACACAGACGCTGAGGAGACACACTTTCAACACAGAACATCGTTCAAGTAGACGGGCTTTATCCTGACTCATAGTAACACACCGATGAGAAGAAAACAGTACTCCTCTTTCAACCTAGTTGAAAGGTCTCTGATCAAAAAGTCTAGACGTTGTTTTATGACTTAAAAGAGAAAATCTAGTGAAAAAACTATCCATGAAAATCTCCCCACCCCCCCAAACCCCACGGTTTAAAAATAAATTCATCTGACTATATCTTTCTCCTATGCGTTATTTTAAATAGTGGTTGCCGTATTCATGACCTGACAACAGCATCTGATTAGTGCAGTTGGTTTTTCCATTAAAAGGTCTTAGCAGTAGTGAGGACAGCAGAGAGGTGAAGTGGACTCGTAGGGAGGTGTCTGGCCGACTGCTTACTGCTGAACAGATTCTTCCACTAATCACTGCCTCTGAGATCTGGTACCTCGCCTCCGTCTACCACGCACAGACCTGTCCGGCTTCAGGAGTTCTGCCTGTAGTGGGGAAAAAAAAAAAAAAAAGGTCAAATAAAGATGGAACTCACTGTTTTCACTCCTTTATCCAGGTTTAAAGCCCATCCTTTATGGGAAACTCATGTTTTTGGTAAACTCAGTTGTCCAAAGTTCTCGGTCTGTCACTTTTTTCTTAGGAAAGGAATACATGAAGGAAGGTAGGACAAACGGCAGGAAGATGACAAATGGAAAGAAGGGTTAGGGTTAGATTAAAGTGAGGGAAAGAAGAATGAGAACAAGGAAGAAACAAAGAAAACAAAGGATAGAGACAAAGGGAAGAATGATATTTGACATTGGGACAGGGACTAAAAGTAAAAAAACTATCCTGGAAAACCTCTCCAGACCTGCAAAATAATAAAATCACCATCTGTGTTTGTCCAGACAGCATATGAACTGAGTTCATTCATGCACAAGAAAGTTTCTGAACAACAGACTTATTCTAGCCTTTAAACGTCTCATAGCAAAGCTCACTGTAATGAGAGCAAACTTAGATCTTAGAATAAGACACTGAGACCCCCAATAAGTCCCTAGCTGGTTTAAATACTTTATTAAAATTAATAACTTTGATGAGATCTGAACTGTATGAGCAGGAACAGCTGCGTTCGAACAGCTCAGGATTACCAAACAAAAACTTGTATTTCCTATAGCTTTTTTCTCTAATTGCTGCAAAGTCTGTGACTGTATATAATGAGCAGATTTTCCTTTAATCTAAAACCTTTAAGTAAGACTGACTGGAAGGAATCTTATTTATCACAATCAAAAAAACAACATGGGAACAGATGAAAGGGGCAGCTGTCTTACTGTAGCCTTGGTTTCCTCTAGTGCTGTCGCATCCATGTCTCTGAAATCCTCTAGAACGTTCTGAAGCCTGATAAAGAGAAAAAATACAAGAGCGATCAGTAATCCAGCTTTCTGCTCAATCAGCCTCAAGCATTAGAATGTGTTTACACTGAATAAACGAGCAGTACAGTGATTCCAGAGAATATCATGGATGAACTTACGTTTGTTTTCTTTTTCTTCCTCTTCTGGCTCCACCCGCCGCCCCTGCTTGACCCTTGAGATTTAGAAGCAGAGATAAGATTACAGGAACAATATAATGAATGTCTGTGTTAATGGCTATTCTAATTCATTCCAGATTTTCTTAAATCCGAGCAATAATGGACTCAAACTGTAGAGCCACAGAAAGTGATTCAGAACGCCTACCATGCCCTGTCCAGTGAGCAGGAGTGGATCCGCCGTCTCCTCATTGGGTCTCTCGCTGCATCCGTCTCTGGGACTGAGGTATCCCACATGGTGGGGTTGTCCCTGCTTATCCACGCCTGTCTCCACAAAAGGAGAAACAGCGACTGCAGCACCAGTACAGTCTGTTTTAGTTTCCTCCAAGTAATTAGGTGGCAAAGGGGGATCCAGGTGGGTAGGTCCCTCTATGACGGGCTTTCTCTGGAGGGGAGATGTAGGCCCATCCTCGGTGGGTTTAGGTGTCCCCTGGGCCGGAGAATGAGCTGTAGCTTCTAGACTGAGTCGTGATAAGTCTGGGTTGCGAAGTGAACAAGCTCGCCGTGGGCTTAGAGAGACGGGGGCACTTGCCTGGGGCAGAGTTGGGACATTAGTGGATGAGCTGTGGTGCTCCAAAGGAAAAGAAACCGGTGGTAAGGCACAGAAGGGTGAGGTGGGGTCCGATGGCCCCAGCTGAGCCCCGTCTTCCTGCTCTTTAGCACTCACTTGAAGAAAAGAAGTGTAAATAGTGTCCATGAAAGAAGTGTAAGGGTCAATGACAGACCTGCTCTCGGACACCCTGTGCGCCGGCGGGGTGGGTTCTTGAGCAGAGGGTGGAGCCAGAGCTGAAACAGAACATGGGACTACTTCAGGGGTAATTTCACTGCCGGGTAAATCTTCCTGTGCTGTCGATCTTTGGGTTTCCTGCAGAGAGCCAGGTTTCTCTCCATCCGAGGGTGGTGCGAGGTTCAGCTAGACGGAAAAGAAACAACATGGCTGACAGTCAAAGGCTGAGAAGGAATTATTTGGGAGGGGTCAAACTTCAGCTTAATAGCACCGCAAAGATGACAAATAAAAATCTGAACTATTTCATCAGTAAAAATATTATGGACTGCTGCATCATCCTGAGTACAACACACTTTATTGTGAAATCTCTTACTGAGTCATTAGGTATCAAATGGTCTAATACTTAGGTTTAGTAATGCACAGACAGGGCTATTTATGAGGAGGCCAAATTTTCTGTGCCACAGCAAGACATGTCTGCCAAAGATGGAGCGAGACATTTAATAGGCAGCAGGAAGGCTGTACTGATTGATCCTTTCCAGCCTTCAGTCTGTCTGCAATGGAAAAATGGATTCGGAAATGATTGCAGCCTCTTTGTTTCTAATAATTAGAAAATGACCTGCGTTCTCCAGGAAAAAAAAAAAAAAACTGAGCTGATTTAAGACTGAAATAAAAATGGAAAATACTTTCCTTCTCACAGTCAGAGGCTACATCCTCTTTGTTCTTTTCAGATATTACTGATGCCAAATATAAATAAACTGCCTAATTTATTGAATCTTTTCTATCAATTAACTTTATTTAAATTATGGGGGAAATCAAGCTATATCACTCAATTCTTTATTTCGTGCAAATTCTGGGTGACTTTTTTATTGCCTATTCTGGGCCCAATGATTTCCTCTAAAGCCGGTAATTTCCTTGACATGCAGTAACCCAAGAAGGCTCCGGTTGACTAATTAAAAACACCTAATCTCTGAAGTCTAATAATCAGCATCCTAATAACCTACCTGGATGTTATTGAGTAAGTTGATTCCTCCATCAGGGCTCTGCAGCAAACCCAAAGCAGAAGCTTGAACAGGGGACAGAAAAATGGAACCTGCTCCGATGCCGACCATGTTCTGCAGCCCAGCGATGGCAGGAACGTCTCCTAAAAGGAAAACAGTCAAAAAAAGGCAGTGATTTTCTCAGATAAAAAAACAAAAAAACACTACAACTAAGGAACAAAAAAAATAATAAGAAAAGGTTTAGGGTTAGACCCCAACTCACCTAACATAGAGGGGTTAAGCAAAGTGGGAAGTAATTGTTGGAGGAGGGCGTTGTCTTTGCCTTGGAGGGACACAGGAATGAGGGTGTCAACAGCTGTATCGGTTGGTACCTGCGTAGCAAAGAATAACAGAGACCAGGGTACATGTTTAAAAGAGAAAACAAACAAAGTTTAGATTCATTAAAAAGACTGCATGATAAATCCAAGCAGCATCTGTTCTAATCGATTGCTGCGTTCTATTTTATGGATAATAATGATGGCTGAAACTAGTGGAACAGATTTATATAATAAGAAATAACTTAATGATTTACTACTAAACCTGGAATCCTATGGGGGAAAGAAAGGGATGCTAACCCTTTTAAGATTTTGAGCAAACACTGGGATAACAACAGAGCAGTTAATTGAATGAAACCACATGGTCGTGAAAGGCAATAGGGATGAGTTCAAAGGAAAAAAGCTAACAGAAGGTAGGAGCCTACCTGAGGTTGGGGATGTTGGGTTTGCTGTGCGGGAGCTAACTGGGTATTGGGAGGAGAGTGGAGCTCAGCAGAGCTCAGGGCAGCTGTGAGAAGAGCAGGGCTGAGGGGCAGGAAGGCTGCAGGGGGAGGAGGAAGAGTGGCAGGAAGGAGCAGAGACTGCAGGGCTTGGATAGGGTTCTCTGCTCCAGCAGTAATAGGAAGAAGGCCGTGGGATATGTCTAAGAGACCAGAGCCTGTGAGAGAGGTTGGATCAAGGAGGGCGGAGGTCTTATCCAGGTTGAGGCCCTCCAAAGTGGCCGGGATCTGTTGCGATTGCTGAATAGGAACTTCTAAGCTGATCTGGTTCAGATGACCCAGCACAGACAGAGGTAACAAAGAGGCTGGCTGCTGCCCGACTAAAACAGAAGCCATGAGCAGGGCCTGTAGACTTGTTCTTTCTGTTAAATCAGGTTCCTGTCCTGCAGATGGTGCAGAGGCAGCAAGTGGGTTCAGGAGGCCCAAAAGATTCAGTGGCAGCTCCCCTTGTCCTCCGCTCAACAAAGGCCACAAAGGAAACAAAGGATTGTTGTTAACCTGCTGCTGCTTCTGTTGTTGGTCTTGGTTCTGTTGCTGTGTGTCTTGCACCAGTAAATGCGGCTGCTCTGATTGGTGCTGCTCTGGTGGCTGAGGTGTAACCGAGGCAGGGGGTAACTGTGCATGCTGCCCTCCCAACCAAAGCCCCCCTAGGGGCAACGAAGCCAGGACTGTGGAATCCAGAAGGGATGGTAGGCCTCCTGTAGATGACAGCAGCTGAAGCAGCTGCTCCTGGTTCATGAACGGAAAGGCTTCGGCCAAAGCTAAGGGCGCTGATGAATCTGACACATTTGGAGAGCTGGCCCGACTGTGATCCTCTTCTTGGTTTGCAGAGGCAGTGAATGTGGGACTAGTGGAGGCTGGAGGGGATGTCATCGAAGACGTCTTTGGGTCCAAATGTTCAGCCTCCTCTTGAACTGTGGAAACAATAAACTTTTATTTAGGTTGAGTTCAAAAACAGAAAAAGAATTTTAAAGGCATATAAGAAAGAACAATAAACGTCCAAAGAACTGGCAGCTCTGACACAAAAGCCAACATTCAACTTAAAAAGCACAGATTCACCAGGATATGATAGGAAGCAAAGATCCAAAGAACGAATCAGAAAAAAAACACAGAGTTTAACATTTACATTTTAAATATGTTGCCAACTACTGAACATGGCATCATTGGCTGCATTTTCAAAGCTACTAGTCATAAAATTCTGTGTATTTGAGGGAGATTTAATGTGACAAACAAACACAAAGTAGCAACAGAGCAATTAACTGCCTTATAAATAAAGAGTGTGAATACTTCAGATGGTCAAGGATGATCAAGGGACACTATGCCGACAAATTGGCAAGAGAGCAACAAACTGCAAACTCATCAGGATATTGCCGAATACCTGAACTGACAGGCCAGGTAAGGAGAGCACTTTCCTTTCTTTATAATAGAAAACATCCTCAGCCTCTCAGAGCTTTAGCATGTCACCATATCAGGAGCAGTTTAAAGTCCTTCTAAATATATATTAACACAATGTAATGCTATAAAACTTGCATCCAGACAGTCCTTCCTAACTGTGATATCAAGCAGACTGATCCTGCCACAGTGCGTTTAACTGTACAGTGTGTGGGTCGAATCCTTAATGACAATCCTGGAAAATAAAAAACTGTCAGAAGCTGCAAAACACTTCAGCCTGAGCAGGATTTCATCTTGAAGGACAATCCTACGTTTTGTTGATTATTTTTAAAACATAAATCACTGATTTAGAACAATTAAAGTCAAAATCTATGTTGTTTCTTAATGATATAGGGCGAGATTCTCCTTAGTATGAACTATTTTACAAAGAATAGACAAACATGTCCGCCTCTGGGTGCAAAAACTGTTTAACCACTCCACAGCTATGCACTGCTTTGTTTTGCATTCATCTCACACAATCAGCAAAAAATACACTGAATTTTGTCGTCCTAACATGACAAAATGTGAAAGCCTAATAGGTTTTAATCTTTTAGCAAAGGAGACTAAATCGAGAACACAATGGAAGAAAATCTGTTGTACCTGCTGTAGGATTTTCTGGGGTAGAAACATCAGCAACAGTGGCATAGCTGGAGGAATCTGCCTCCTCCTGGGTCATGGTGGAGGGCGCAGAGAAAAGAGCCAGGACATGGTTACTAAGATCCAGAGGCTTTGGAGAAGACGGTGCTCCTGTGGAAGCATTGGCTTCAGTATGACTCAGCCCCACCGATGTTTGGGAAACAGAGTCTGTTGTGGGAACGTGATTATCAGATGGCTGATCCATGTCTACCACAGAGGAAGATGTCCGGTGGGGTGGGTCACAGTTGTTCTGCACAACTTCATTTGACTTACAAGGAGAGCCTCTTTGAAGTGGATTTGATGTTGTAGAATGTGGAGGAGACTGAGACTGTAATGTCACAGAAGAGGAGGTTGGTGGGGAAGAAAGTGGCTGCTGCAGCAGTGGTAGGGGATTAGTGTTATCCGTTTGGCATAAGGGTCGAGTCTGCAGGTGCCTGACATTAGAATTAGCAGGTGGAGAGGATTGGGACTGCCTCAGGATCTGTTCATTAGTGTGTCCACCTCCGTCGCTCGTTCTAGACTGAGCTGAGGCCGAGTTTGATGCGGTAGCCTGTGCGTTCTGCACACTAAGCAGGTGTAACAGAGCGGACAGGGGCTGGGTCGGGGGATCCAAGCCAAGAGATGTGGGCGTCAGGGCTGTAGTGAAATTCAGAGCCTCGTTCGGCCGAGGAGGCCTGGAAAGATGTCCTGTAGGAGGAAGGAGTCTGGGCATCTGCCCGGGGAGGCTTAGATGATGGTTTTCCAACGTGACAGTACTCCGATTCTGCACAGCTGAGGTAGAGTAGGAGAGAGGGGTGGAAGGGAAGGATGTGGAAGATGAGGAAAGGTTGATAACTGTAGCAGACACAGCCTCATCAGATGTAGTCTTTCGAACCCCATTGGCCAGCGGCTGCGTGTCTCTCAGCATACTGATGACCGTGGGAGATCGCCGCTGTCTCTTCCTGTGCGAGGCGTTGCGTTCGGCTGCTGGAGGCGAGGAGGACACCGGGGACTGGGCCAGAGTTTGGGATGGGGAAAAGAGTACAGCAGGAGCTGCTGCAAGGGAGGGATGAGGAAGCCTAGCAGAAGCAATGGAGGGGGGAGTGGTGCTGTTATGTAAAGTGCTGTTTGTTACCTTTTGTTGCTGTTGTGCCTCTTTCAAAACATCCAGAGAGGAGTGCAAGTTCCCTGGACTGCTGGACACGTGTGAGCCCTGGGTTATCTGGTTAGCCAGCTGAGCCTTGGCTGCTGCAGAGAGCAGGCTACTGGCAGGGAAGGGAACTGGGTGCGGCAGCTTGCCCTGATGGCTATAGTGGTGGTTCATCAGTTGCCCCAGAGGCATGTTAGAGGCTCCTGACTGATTCGAGCCAAAAGCTTTTGGTCCTGCACTGTCGGCTGGAGTCACGGTGCTCTTAGAGGGCTTTGAGGAGACAGCATGAGGGTGACTACTGCTTTGGTTGGTCAGTAATGAAGGATTAGCAAGGTTCAGGATGTGGTGGTTATTAGTGCTGCTGTTGCCTGAGTTCTTTAACTGCTCCAAGATATCTTCCAGCTTGCATTTGGGGAAGTGGGGGCTGGGAAGAGGGGAGCCGCCAGGGACTGGAGAGTGCGGAGAGGAAGAGGCAGACTTCCTTCTGTGAGGCAAGTTATTTCCCATCAGTCCTCCTGCTTCTGCGGTGCCTCCTCCATGCTCAGACACAGAAGAGGGAGAGGCTGATGGGTGGCGGGACCGCTGGTGAGAAGACATACCCATGGTATGGACAGAAGGGGAGAAGGAGTTAGATGGAGAAAGGGGAGTTAAGGGGAAATGAGTATGAGTCTGTGCCCCTCTCACTCCTCCTAGGGCCATTGGGGAAGAGGGAGGGGGCGAAGACAGGGGTCCTAACCAAGGAGAGCCAGGGGTCTCAGGGGTTTTGGGTGTTGTTTGACCTTGACTGGGGTTTTGAGGTGTTGGGGTGTGGGGTGACCTCTGGGCAGGGCTGTGAGGTGGAAACGAAGAGCTAGAGGAGGCAATGGAGGATGCTGACACAGGAGGATGATGATGATGTCTCCTATAAGCATCCAGCGGATGGTGACAATTGGTGCTAGTATTAAGCACAGAGGAGGAACCATTATATGGATAGATAAACTGATGGGAGGATTTAGGGCTGGGGCACGGGTTCGGGTGATTGTTGCTGTGTCCCCGAGTTGGTACTGGATTGTGTTTTGAATAAAAAAGTCCACGGTCATCTTCTTTACGCTCTGAATGTTCCTTTTTTGGATCTTTGCTTTCCCCTCGAGGTACATCTGAAAATTGGAACACACACACACACACACACAAAAAAGTTAAGAGTTTAAGTCAAACATAAAACGGTAGAAAAACATTAAAAAAGCTGCCTTGCTTGGCTCTTCAAGCACAGCCTCATTTCTGGAAGGAAAGGATAATTCAGGCAGTGAAATACCAAGAGTCTCTCATTTCTAAACAGAGCAGCTCCAAGGCCAGGATCTATTGTTTGGTTTCCAGAGAAGGTATGCATAATCAAAAGGGCCACAGTGTTGGAAAACTCATAATTTCCTGACATCATGGCTGAGATTTAATTAAAAAAGAGGGGGAAGTTTTAAAACTCCTATTCCTTGAACATTCCCACAGTTGGTCCACTTACAAACTTATTTTGACAATTTTTAGCGCTTTCATATAATAAACGTTGCATAATAGATCCCTGTTCTTCTTCTTGCTACACATAATTATCTGACAGAATAAAATTTACTTTTTTTGTAAAGACAAATCTGTCCCTAGAGATTGAAAACCAGCATCTTTTTTTTCAATTACAGCTCCAGGCCTTTAAGGCTAATCTCTACCAGGTTCGTTTATCTGAAGGCTAAACTTTTATTGAGTTTTTCTTTGCAAAATAGCTCAGACTATGTCGCATTAGACCAAGAGCTAATGTGAAAGTGCACCGTTTAAATCTTGTCACTGGTAATGCCCCGGTCACACCTTGACGATATAGCCAGCGTATCCCTGATGTACGAAAAAAGTGGCAAAAACGCTGGCGTATGTTGGATAAGTTACCGGTTATGCTGTCACACGTCGACTTATGGCAAGTACCTCAAGAAATTATGAGCATGTTCGAAACTTCTTGACACATGCCAGCTTATGCTCATACATGGGCCATAAACTACCAGTACGTTATGTCCTCATTGACATACGTTAAGTGTTACTTACTCATAAGTCATGGTGTCTAGCTTATCCAAAACCTATGAGTAAGTTGTGCATAACTAATGCGGAACCTATCAAGAATTTATCTCCAACACATACCAAGGTATTTGACGTGTTCCAGACATCCGCTGAACGTGTTTCTAACATACAGCTTCCATTTAATGCTGTATTGGCTGCATTTTGTTATAAAAAGGGGTTCACAGGAGGAAACTGTCAGTACTCCTCCAGACTTGATCCCCATCATAGGGTGAGCAAGAAGATGAGTGTGATGGATCCTCCCTGTGACCAACAAACTTCCTAGCAGACATGACGCTGAATCTGCTGCAACTGCAAACCTTCTTTTTTATTTATTTATTCTTTTTTTTCTGTGGGCAGTAAACAGCAGCTTAACACCGCAATCAAATTAATCTTTATATGCAGGCCAGGCACCTTCGGGGGCATTGCTGCCCCCCTCAGGACACTGGCTTGTGACATTTCATGGGCATTACGCTGCCTTGCATTATGCATAAGTTAGGCTGTTGTCGGACATAAGTTCTGGACTTGTTACGAATATGTCAGGTAAACGTCCAAACTTGAAAAAAATACATAGATAGTTCAGCATCTGCCAGCGTTTTAGAAGATTCTGGGACATCAGATAGATGCTGGCTAAATCTTTAAGGTGTGACAGGGGTTGGATTTGGGTCTCAAACTTGACCAAGCAACTCTCAATATGAAAATGCAGAGATCTTCACTGTTTCTGAGCCTATCTTTCTGGATGTTTGAAGATGTTTTCATGAGGTGAAGGTGAAGCTCTGCCTATCTCAAATTCTTCACAAAGTCATTAACAACCATTTCTGCAGGAGTGCACAGTATTTAGCTCCTTCCATCATCTGTCAGTTCTGTCTTTAATTTGGCATACCCTCAGCAGGATGCTGCCACCACCATGCTTCACTACAGGAATGATACCTTTATTAAGAAATGCAACATATGATTAGGAGTCATAAAAAAATTATTGCTGTCCCTTCAGTTTTATAATTTTCTTCCTGTATCTTGCATTCCATCACATTATGGTTGCATTTATGTGAAGAATGAAATACACGTTTGTAGTCTAATGACCATCCCCCTGTGAATATTGTGTATTTGTTTTTCTGATTTTCAGTTCAACAGTAGCTGAATTAAGATGCAATATGTTCTCTAGAAATATATTTAATGCTTAGACTGCCAGTAATGGAAGAAATTACCCTGGAGGGACAGTTCTTTCTCTCTACTTTTTAAAAGAAAAGGTGCAGAATTCTAGTTGTCCCTGAGGTGATGAACGTTACCTGGATGATGAAAGTTGGTAAACGGAAGCTGTGAGGCCTGCATACTCCGACAAAGAGCCGCCATCGCCACCACTTTCCGGCGGTGATTGCACAATTTGGTCATGTCCTGCTCTGCTTTACATGACGGCTGACTGTTCTGTTCCACCTTCACACCAACACTGAAGTTGAAAACCTGCATGGTGCAGATTGAGAAAGAGGATTAAACAGAGCTTTAAGGGAAAACCATTCATAAAGGGCAATGATTCAGGTATTTCTGCTCATTCAAAAAAAAAACAACAAGTCAATAAAACACAGTTTGATAATTTTTTCTACAAACAAACTTAAAGCATAATTTTACCTTATGAATGATGAGTGGGCACTCCAGACCACATTTGCAGGTACCATCAGTCAGCAGGTAGGTCTTGACCTCATCCAGTGTGGACAGGGTTGTTCCACTGGGACTACAGTGAGGATGGTAATAGATATTAATAACAAATTTACTTACTTGTTTTGTTATTACAGTTTCAGATCAAAACAATAAAAATGATGTGGGAATGAAAGGCCTACTTAGCCAAATGTTATGCTTATTCTCCAAATTCTACAAAGAACAAAACACATTCAGGGAAGGACACCCATCACTGGGAAAAAAAAATTATTCAAGGTTTATTCACCAATTTACTATGCAGTGAGACTTATTTATTTTTACCTCTATTAAAACAAACATATGATTTACTTTATTAAACTATAAAAATGCTGGTGGAGGTGTCAGCGGAGAGGGAAGTCTGGGAGTCTCTGCTTAGTCTGCTGCCCCCGCGACCCGGTTCCGGATAAAGCGGGAGACGACGAGTACGAGTACGAGTACGAGTACGAGAATTTTCAACTTGCTGTTTTCATTTAAACATTATGCAATTGAATTGGTAAAATAACATATACTGCACAAGGGCCACAAAAATGAACATTTATACAGGAAAAACAAGCCCAAATAAAAACATTAATTTAATGAAACATAAATTAAAGCACAACAATTAAGAACAAATATTAAACAGATTTTCTACACACCGGATCCTATTTTGTTTTGTTTAAGGTGAAATAAATGCAAGACTTCCAAAGTCAATGAATACCTGAAGCTAATAATCAAAATAATAAGACACATTGGAGCATCTTCATGTGTACAGGACCACAATGAAAAAGCAGCATTAAAGTTAGAAATGTGCATTTAAAGAAACTGTAGGGAAAAAATAGAAATATTTATACATTGGGTTTTTTTTTTTATAGCTTTAAACATTCAAACTCCACCTTCTTGCAATAAAAGAAACAAAGGAAAACCATAATAATAATAATTTGCATTAAATAAAATTTGTTGTAAGAAACACTTTAGCTTTCATATCATACAGATTACCAAAGAGGTTATTTTGTCGTCTTATATAAAAACTTGAACTTAACATTCTACATGTTTGTAAAAGCACCAACACACCTGACGTAGGTCACCTGCCCTGCCTCCACTCTCCGGAGCCAGCCAATGGGGACATGCACAGCAGCAGTGTGGACCGCATCCTTGTCTCCGCTGACGGTCTCACTGCCTCCCATTATTTTGTTGCTGCGCCCTGCCAGCACCTTTATAGAAACAAAGCGATAATGTACCCTTTTAGAAGAATGTTAGCTAAACTGGTTAAAGAAAGCAGAGTTTAAAACACTGATTTATGTTTTTGTATTCTTTGCAAGATCTTTACTCAATAGGATTTTACTCCAGGTCAAAACAGACTTTATTGCAACAGATAAGCAATTTCTTGACAAACAAAATCATGCTGTATGACATTTTGTATTGACCGTCAGATGGACATTCCCACCTAATTTGACATCCTGAAACTTTATTATATGTTATATTACAATTAATAACTGCCAATAGGAATTTCCATTAAGCTATTCTGGTTTATCTGGATCTAAATATCTCACGTTTCATTTAAATCCAATGGTTATCAAAGCCAAATTAAATGGAAAGGGTGTATTATAGAAAAATGTCAGAATATGACTATGATTTATACATACAAGCATGATTAGAGAATATCTAAGAGTGCTTTAATAATTTATGCAAATGCTTTACAGTAAATACAAATAAACTGGTGCTTAATGATGTTAGCATGTCATGTATTAAATTGTTTGTTTACAGATTACAAAAAAAGGTGCAGTTTGGGAAATTGTCCCTGAGCTACATAATCTGTTGAAAAAACAACTAGAGAGATAAATTACCTCTTTGATAAAAACGAACAGAAAAAACATAGAATTTTGTCTGAAATATAAGTAGGCATATGTTGATAAGTATTAAGGTAAACCAAGGTTTTAAACTGTAGTGTTTCAACGCCACAAATATTTTAGATTGGCAAGATTTTGACATAGTACGCTATGAATCTGCCACTGCACTCATAGTTTGATAAGCAAAAGGTTTACATTTAAGAGTAAATACAGCTTGTACCACGATGGTCTATCTCAGCAAAAGTTGTACTCTACATCTCTATCCTCATAATAAGTTTATACAACCTTCGTTTGGTTATTTCAAATTTAAACATTTTCAGACTTATTTATGTACACTGTATGCATGCATGTCTTTGCTTACAGCACTCAAATTTGTCACACATGTAAAACAATATTTGACAATAAGGATTTTTCCAATTCTGATTCTTCTGGATAAATGTAGCCTGTTTCTTCCATATCTTAGCTTCAAAACAATTTGCCAAAAAATAAATGTTACAGAAGATCAGAGCTCTCATTTTAAGTTCAATGCGTTCCATTTCATGACAATCATAAATACAAACAGCAACAAATTTACAGTCGCTAATCTTGTATTATTTTAAGATTTTGAGTTCAATCCCCCAAATAAAAAAAAACAAATAGTTACAACCTTCAACACATCTTTCCTTGTTTAGATTCCCATGTAAAATCTGCTTGAAAATAATCAAAACAAGGTAAAGTAGACTGTATTTAGTATGTAGTGGGTGTGGCTACAGTGAAAATGATAGATTTCACATAAACAAAAGGCAACCCTCCCTTAAAACTAGTTAAAACACTAAAGAAAGAACAGAATAATAAGATGCAGACTACCTTGTCATCTTTGGGAAGCCAAGATCTATTTTGGCTATGGTATCTGTTGTCCGAGGTACATTCTGGTGGGCGAGAAGCACTCACACTGCCCGTAAAACCTGACTTGTCCAAAACAACTGGAATTTCCACCACTGTGAGGCTGATCCTTAACTTTAAGGACGTTTCCAACAGAGCAATCTGTTTATCTCACATCAGAGTAGGGTCTTCAATGAGGAAGAGGCTGCAAAGAAAGGTGGAGGTGGATTATGTAATCTGCCAAGGGGAGGGGGTTAAAGTAAACAATTCAATAATTCTTCCCTCATCCAGTCAAGACTGATAAATTATTATATCCGATTCTGTGAACTAGTACAACTTTAAAGCGAGCTGGGGTTACTTTAAAGTAAGAGGGCGTGTTTGGCTAGGCCCCAAGTTTATTCAGTGGTTACCTACAGGGTTAACAGACGCCTTACAAACAGCAAACACAGAAGATAAAAGAATATTCAGAATGACGCCTAAAGTGGCCCTAAAATTCGTAATAAATACAAATACATTGGTAATACTGCAGTAAATACACAGTAGCTAGCGTGTATGCTAACGGCTAAGCTAGCGGGCTAAATCCACTTCTGTTGTCGTGACAGCTGTCAGGAGCACAAAAACACTCCCGATGCAAAACTCCTGCGTCTTAGCGACGGATACACGAACTGACCAGTTTACAAAACTGCTTCCCAAGCTAAACTATTATCTGGACACTATGTTTATTATAATTACTCACAGACATATGTCCGCTAACGTCAATATTTGCTAAACAACATTTCTGCGCGTCAAGCTGTGTGTTGGCCAAGTTTGGAAGTCGCTCTTGTTGGGCTCAAATTAAGACTTAGCTAGGTAGCCACAGAACTGGTGAGATGATGTTTTGGAAATGATTAGTACTTTTTTATTAAGCATTGCAAATTGATGATTACATAATCTAAACGACGTATTGGCGCGATGAATCAGCTCTGTGGGTTTAGTCAGCCAGTTCGGCTTAAAAAAAAAACAAAGGGCAATAACGGTTCATTTTACTGCGCCTAACGCTCCCTGCTAAAGCTATCTGGAGCAGCTAACAGAGTGAAATTTACTTGTTTCTGGAGTGTCCCAGCAACACAGAGGGATGTCCCGCTCCCGCTCCACAGCTATACGATCCTCACTTTGGTATTTCTTTCTGCTAATTCTCGTTGCATTCAAATTTGTATCGACAACACATAGCGTCCCATGTAATCCCCAATTCACAGTTACCCACTGTTTTTTTTTTTTTTTTTTTTTTTTTTTTTTACAAATTCCGAGCAAAAATAATGGAGTTTTCTTTTGCGCATGCGCATTAGGCGCTTCAGGAATATTATACCCAACATGCAACGGGACCTTTGTAGTGTTGCGATCGGTGATGGGGATTGGTTCTGTTTTGAGATCCGAATCATTTAGTACAGTTCTTCAAAATTGAATCGACTCCCCTAAACGGCTCTTTTTGAAATTTCACGAGTGAATCGGTTAAACAGTGTGAAAGTAAAATTCAATAAAATACCAAAAGCCACAAGGTAAACATTATACATACACACTTATTGTGTAATTCTATCCTTGTGGGGATTTTATTTCCTACTAATTTCTGTAGGTTTACCCCTAACCCCCACCCCCAATAACAGAACACAAACACATTCACATACACAGTCCCAATATCAAGACAATGGATAAATCCTTAATGTTAATTAAAGTATATTTGTGTGAGAAAGTTTTTTTTTTTTTTTTTTTTTTTATTAATTAGTTTAAAATACCTGAAATTATTTTGTCAAATTATGATAAGAAAGCAGCTAAGATGTGAGGTACCTTTTAATACGGTAATTAGACTTTTCTGGAGAAAGGTTCAGTGTAACGAGGTCCTAAGTGTTGGTAGAAGGGAGTTCTTTTTTAAAATCTCATATTAATGATGTTACTGGACAAGGATGGCCAATTCACAGCATATATATATATATTTTTTTTTTATTTAGGGAATAAATATATCACATGGAGATTTGTTGATGTTTTGTTGGTTTTTAAGTCAAAATATTAATATGAACTTCTTCCATGACCTTCTTTCAGATGTGCTAGGCATCACATAATTTAATCATAATGTTCTGTAACTTTCCTTTCCTGTTGTTTTCCTTGGTTAAAAAAGCCATACCATGCTCTCTGTTGTTTGGCCATTGACATCTGGATGTAATTAACACACCTTTTTTTTTAATATTGATTACAGTTGTACACAGCTCTACCCAAAGGAGTTAAGGTTTAAATAAATTGGGTTATATTTTTTTTTTATTTTTTTATTTTTTTTGGACAATGCTGTGAAGAAATTAGAATTAAAAATAGCCTATGCAGTAAAATATAATTACAACAGACATATTCAGTGTTTTGATTTTAGTTACACCTAATACAGCAATGTGTTAAAGCTTAATTGTTGCTTTCAAATATCTTTGCAAATAGCATATGGTGCTGTCTTTAGCATTTTCAGGTTGTGTCACCAAGGTCCAGCTTGTTTTTTTTTGGATTGGGAAACATTCACAGAGTAAACTTCCATGAAAACGTGACAAAGCCATATTACTTTGTTGTTCATTAAGAATAGAGTCAGGACTGTTCCTCTTGATGACTGACGCATTAATTGACATGAAAACCTGCTTTTGAAGGAATGAGGTATCCATTTTGTGTGCTTTGGCAGATTATCAATTAGGTTTTGCTTTTTTCTTAAAAATGTAAAAAGTAAGGTAATAAATGTACCAAAGTGACTGAGACTAACTGTGTTTAATTTTCAGTTTGCATTAAGCAAAGTGTAAAACTTAAAAAAAA